GACAGGGTCTGATGCAACCATCCAGAGGCAGGGGTGCATCCAGTATTCATGGTAGGGCACAGACAGGGTCTGATGCAACCATCCAGAGGCAGGGGCGCATCCAGTATTCACGGTGGGGGGTGATGCCTGGAAGGTAGAAGGAGTAGGGTATAATGGGATGAGGTTGCTGGAAGGATGCAGTGAGGGGCTCTGAGATGGCTTGGCAGATGAGCTGGAACATTAAGAGTTGCAGAAACAGAGATTTCTGCTTTCGAGAAAGATTTCTGTTGAAGGAAACCCGCGATTATCTCTTCTTGAGCGTTCACATGCCTATTTTGTGGTCAGTTGATGATCTCTGCTTTTGTGTTCAAGACAGGGACATCTGTGACACTATAGTCACCTCACTATTTCCACAGTTGTGCCTACAGATGCATTTTCATCTACAGTTTCACGGCTTCTGATTGGCAGTGCCATCTCCTCTTAACTTGCCTCCAGTGTCTGCATGTAAAGTGCTTGAGCCCATCTGCGGTCCTCTGCAGGCTCCAAAGCCTCCCTCTGAATATTTTCTTCTCCATCCTGCAGCCGCACGCCAGCAACGCTTTCCTGCAGGCCTAGAATTTCCTTAGAAGGTCTGTGAGTTGAGGTGGAAGTGTAGAGGGTAAGAAGGGAATATCATTTAAAGGATGTAGGGGTTCTGCCACCAAGACATCACTGATTCTTGCAAAGCCCTGGAGACCAGCTGGATAACTTCCTGTGCCTGGCTTGGCCAGTAGATACAGGTGTCTCCATAATCCAAGCGGGTGCTGAAAAATGGCCTCTCCCTATGAAAGATCAAGAACCCTGAGGAAGAGGAGGAAGATGAAGAGGTGCAGGAAGAGGAAGAGAAGGAGGACTAGAAGAAGGACGTGAGGGAGGGGGGAGAGGGAGAAAAGGAGAGAGAAAGGAGTAAAAGGAGGAAGAGAAGCATGGAAGGGGAGGAAGGGAAGCAGGAAGTGGAAGAAGAGGAGGAAATGTGGAAGAGATTGCTTGTCAACCTTAGTCCAGATGAACCTTTGCCTCGATATATGTTCTTGGCCAGATCCATCCAGATTACCTATCCCTTTCTCTTGCCATTGAGTTCGGTGAGGGATGTTTCCTGAGTATGGCTGAGCAAACCTACTTCTACTATTTATTTTTTCCCTTGTCAATCAACATTTCCAATCAGCCCTGCAGATTACAATCGCTCTGGATAAAACAAGTTCAGCAATTAATTGTTGCCTGGAAGGAAAACAGATGCCCTGGTACCTCATGCAGTTGGCTTCTGTGGAAACCAGGAGGTTCTCCATTGGTCCTTGAGTGATGGAGCGGGCTGGTCTTTTCCAGGTAAAGTTGCATTAGTATGAATTCTCAGGAAACCCTTTTCATAATAGCCAAAGAGCTAGCCAGGTTCCATAACTCGAAAAATAAAACAGCTGCCTATTTTAGATTGTATTGGAGAAGTTGATTGCAAGTCTCCGAGCACATTCTAGGAAGACATACAAGAGGTGAGTCATACTGGGTATGGATTATGTAATAGTTTCACTGCATAGCAAAACCCCTCATAGGTAAATGGTTCAAACAATAATGTTATATTAACTTACCCAGGGGTCACTAGGAATTTCACAAGATGGCCCGATGTCAGGTGGATCTTCTTGGCGATCTGTGGTTAGACTGGGGTGAAGGAGAGGAAGTTCCCATGTCTTCTCACTCATGTCTTGAAGTTAGTTGGCTACAAGGTGAATAGCAGGTGGTAATCAGGCTGTGTGTTTTTTTATCTAGCAAACTCACCTAAGCTTGTCTGTAAGAGAGAGTGGCAGCATGCCTGACCTCAGCCTCTTAGGCTGGTACCTTACAATGGACACACATTCATGTCTGCTGCATTCTCTTAATGAAAGCCAGCCGTAAGACCACCCCATGTCAAGGATGTTACTTCTTGATGAAAGGTGGTGCAAGGTTGCATTGCAAGAGTTTGAAATACAGGGAGAGCGGAAGGGTGGCAGATCTTTTTGCAATTGATCCACCATAGACCTAAAGAAAGCAAATGGGTTTTGTGAGATATAAAGGCCACAGAGAGAGTTTTATAATGTATGTAACTGGCTGCATGGATTTTTGACAGATCTATCACCTTTCTGAAAGATGTGACACTCCCCTCCCCCATAAGGCAGAACACAGGAGCGCACCTGCCCTCTCTCCCTCCCTCCCTCCCCAAGCCTGCACAATGCTATGGCGGGGAGGCCCCACAGTGCTTCTGACACCTTCAGTGTGTGTTGAACAGAGTCAGAGAGATGAATTCAAACAGATGGAAGGGAAATGCTAAGATATGCCTGAGGTGGCAGATTCACAAAGCCAGATTCTTATTCTGCCTCTGCCTCTGCCAGCTGCTCATGCCCCCAGCTCCTCACTGATGAATCAGAGCTTTTTCCAGAGGGCTCTGTTCACTCCCGCCATTACCACACAGGTATTTAATACGGGGAAATTTTAATCACGTTTGTTTGCCCATGTTTTCATCCTCACGACAAATCATTTTTAATGGGAGATCAGGGGGTGGAAAGAAGATGTAGCAAATCTTGGCTGACGTTTTTATCGCCAGCTTTGGATCTTCTGTCTCAGGGCTGGGTTTGCCACCAACTGCAAATCACCCTGATTGAATGAGCTCCATGGGAAATGGAGAGAAGGACCAATTCAGGACTCTCCCTGAGAACTTAGATGGCCCTCTGTCTCTCATTTGCCTGCCATCCCCTCAACAAGAATTTGGGGATAACTACCCTAGGAATCATCTATTTTAACGCTTTTTGTAGTCAAAGTAGAGAGCCCTTCTTGGCCATGGGGAAATTGGCACTAGAAGTCTCCCAGGGTTCATCCAAGGTCAGTCAGAGTAAGCCGTGGAGTTGGGGCTGACCCAGGTCAGTCTGCACCCTTATTCATGGCACCATGATACCCACTTCCCCCACCAAATGGCAAGGCATTTTGAATTTCTTGATGAGATTTATTTCCTTCAGAGGAGTCTATTTTCCTAGAGCATGTTTACAGGTACAGAGAGGACCAGCTCAGCATAGACAAACATGTTATTTATGGGTCCTGGCGGGCCAAGTCAAGAAGTCAGGATTCTTGTTTGGGAAATGCTGGGAATTAAACCCAGAGACTTTGTAGACACCAGA